CAAAACCTTGGGTCTCATTGAAAAGTGGAGTTGTTGTTTATGTCAATTTTTGGGTCTCATAAAGTAGGGATCTTCCCCTAAAAAAGTAGGGGTCTAAAATGCTACTATCGCTTGAGATGCCCTTGACTCCCATGAGCCCATGGAGCATTCTTTGCATCAGTAGAGCATCTTCAATAGACATGTGGTAGGATGACGTGTTAAAAAAAATTACAGCGCCCAAATAGTGTGTTAGTGTGCCGGGAGGGTGGTTGCTTTTCCAAGCGCTGCAAAATTTAGTGCGTCGCTGTAGTGCTTCACAAGGCGCGGTAAAATCCAGCATGCACGCCTAGCCGACGCTTGGCAAATATGAAACAACACATACCAATTTGACAGTATGTAACAAGATAATCTCAAAGATTAAAAAATATGCAAAATCATGAGTTGAGCAACATAGCATAGTTCAAAATCATTAAACTACAAGCAAGTTCATGACAAACAAGTTCACACAAACGAATAAAATATCACAATCAAGCCCCATGTTCTTGCTCCTCTTTTTCCTCCTCTTCTTCATACGTTTCTTCCTCCTCTTCGTCATTAAAAACTCAGACCGTGTTCGCACTATCTCCAAAGGCATCATGCGAAGGCATGTGAGGCACACCGAAATCCATGCGTCCACCCATGTCACCCGAAGGTGCTCCCATGTCTTTCATGAGAGACCCAAAACTCATGCCTCCTATGGTAGCTCCCAAGCCACCCATGCCTCCCGTAGGTGCTCCCATGCCTTCCATGCCGCACATGGCGCCCATGGCTCCCATGCTTGTTCCCATGCCTCCCATGATAGCTCTCATGCCTTCCAAGCCTCCCATGCTAACTCCCATGGCTCCCAGGCCTCCCATGGCAGCTCCCCATGCCTCCCATGCCTATCAATCTTTTTTGGACCAAGACTTGATCACGGTAAAGGTTGATGTACTCCTTTTGCCTATCATCGAAGTTTTGTGCTACACCGAGCTACAAACAAAAGAACAAGTTATCACTTGAAACACAAAAGATGAAGCATGAAACTTACCCTATCTCTATCATAGTGCCACTTGGGTTTATCTTGTCAACCTACGTCATTGACGCACGCCCTTCCTTTCAGTGCATCGACCATACCCTTACCCTCCTCACCCGCTTCATATTCATGATCATATTCATTCACTTCATTTGTTTGAGACCAATGAGATTTGTTGGAGCCAACACCCATAGTTGACATATATGTGTCACCATTGAAACTAGAAAGTATGATAAAGAAAACTAATCAAGCTATCCATATGTATACATTTATCTAACAAAAAAATCATACCTTGTGGGCATTTCATCAAACACCATGTGTGCATCGGCCGCCGACGCAACAAATTGCGAGCCATCCAACGCTTCAGGCAGCAGAGGCGCGACCGAACGCGCTGCTGGATTCTTCTTCACCCTCCTAGAAGCGTCGTCCACTTTCCTCTTCTTTTGGGCCAACGTCGCTGCCGTCACCATCGGTCGGTTGGAGACGGAGCTCCGTGGCTTCGCTGCGGGCGGCGGGGCGACGCCACCCTGCGAGTTCGTCCGGGCACCATGAAGAGGCCGCGTGCGAGACCAATGTTTGGAGCCGGTGCGGCACGAGCAGCGAAGCCGGAGGTCAACCCCGCGCTAGGGTTTGCGGGGGCGGCGGCAAAGGGGTCACGGGTGTAGGGAAGGGTTGAGGGGATGTCGGCGCGGCGGTCCATCGCCGGCAGGGGCGTGGCGCGGGGTGAAGCTGGGCGCGACCGAAGAATTCAGGGCAGCGGTTGCTCGCTCGAGCGCAAATGTTCGATGTCTAGCGCGCGATGCAGTTTTTCCAGTGCGCTGAACCTTGTTTACCGCGCGTAGGATTATAATACGGCTGCTGAAGCACTATTTTCGGTCGCGCACACGTTATATAGCCGCTTTATCCAGCGTGCGGCTTATTTAGCACATCTGTCGGAGATGCTCTTAGAAACTATAATATTACTATATCAAACAAGAAAAAAATGAGACCAACCCGGGTTAGACTAGTCTGCTGACATTTTTTTTATATAGAAGAAAACTTCATAAGCATCAAGCGCTCGAGTCTAGACTTGAACACTAATGGGTTGGTTGCGAACTCGCGCGCCTTGCCAACTGAGTCACGCTCCGTTCTCATCAAACAAGAAATTAATGTACGGAATGAATGAAATCAGAAAAATTACAAAGGAGGACTCCAAATGCTAGATGGATTACTTTATGTACAATCACAAGCTAATCGTACTAAAAAAAATCACAAGCTAATCAACGACGGCACACGAGTCTCGGTCAAACAAAATCCGCTAGCGATCTGCACCTCCCAGTCTTTCAGCGACGATCTCCGATGTGGCGGCCTCATCGACAACCGCCGCGCCGGCCGCCTTGCCGCGGCAGGCCACCTCGGCGCGGCACACCGGGCACCGGCGGCTCTGGCGCAGCCACGAGTCCACGCACTGCGCGTGGAACCCATGGTGGCACCCCGGCAGCACGCGGCACCGGTCGCCCCCCTGGAACGCCTCCAGGCACACCGCGCACTCGGCGGCGCCCGTCCCGACCGCGGCGGCGGCCTTGAAGTCCTGGCACGGCAGCTCGCCCAGCTCGTCGGCCGTCAGACCCGTCGCTTCCCCCTGCTCCTGGTCCCGCTCCCGCGCCGCACCCCGCAGCCGCAGCACGGCGCCCCGCCGGACCGCCCAGACGATGACGAGGACGTGCAGCGCGAGCATGAGCACGACGCCGGCGATGAGGAAGAGCACGGAGACCGCCATTCGCGCCATGCAGACGCGCAAACTGATCTTCGCTGAGAGTAGAGTTTAAAGCAAAGGCTGTACACAACTGGGCAGATGATCCAAGACGCAAGTTGCCAAGTAGAACGAACCAGTCCTCACTGCTCCTCGGAGAAAGGTCAATCACTCAACTGCAATACTGCATCTCTCCGTCAATCTTCCATATTTTGGCACCCTTATCATGTTCCTCAGTTTGACAAAACCGCTGTCCTTAAAAGCGACATCATGTGCCGCTGTGTACGCTCCTCCATGTGTCTTTATCATATCGTCTCCATTGCCGGGCGGAAGCAGCGTCTGATTAGAATAACCGCTTTGCAAGAGTAGCGTTGTGGATGGTGTTTACTGGAAAGAAAGGGACGCGCTTGGCGAGACTGCGGGCTACGCTCGTTTAATCGTTTTCCTTCGATCCCTTGTTGGTTTCATATCAGTGCGTGGCGTGGCTTCCAACTCCAGGTTCTGAATAAGCTTGCCACATGGTCGCGATCTGGAACTTCGGGTACAGCTACGTGTTGACGAATGACAAGGTGGTTTGGTTTGTCTTCCGGACACGTAGCGGTAGCAAGACTAGGGTTGGCTTAACGAGGCCACAGAAAATGGAGTAGAAACTAGTGTAAAATGCATTATCCTCCAAATGATATTAGTGTGAAACGTATAATTGTGAAGTGAAGTAGACTCCGTAAGTTGCATTAGAGCATCTACAACAGGGTCTCTCATACCCGTCTCAAACACCCGGACAGGCCGTCCGGCCAGTGAGCGGTCACAAAAATTTGATCGAACTGAACCTCTCAAACGGGGCTCAAACGTCCGGGCTGACCGACATTCCTCATATCCAGCCTAATTTAGAGCGGATATGGGCCAGCCCGGGCACGTCCGGACGCGTCCGCCTGATGGGTCCGGCCCAACATGGACCCCACAAAAAACCCAAATCCGGGCGGCGAGCTCAAACCCTAGCTCACTCTCTTCCTCTCTCGCTCCATCCGTCCACTCCTCTCCCACTCCGGCTCCGATCCCATCCACCACCATGAGCTGCTCTGGCGACGACTCTGGCTCGAAGCTCCACTACAAGGAGGAGATGGCCCTCCGCATTGCACTGGAGCGGTCCAAAGTGGAGACCGACGAAAGCTCCGGATCTGGAGCGTCGCCGCACCTCCCGCGCCGGCGCAGCGCGGACGCCGGAGCTGGACCCTCCTGGCATGCGCGCAGCGAGGCCCGGTCAACACGGACCGCACCGGCCCCGCACCGTCTCCTTCCCCCGCCGACCGCTCCCCCACGCGGCCAGTGTTGGGTGCTTGTGCCCGCGCCTCCGGCCCGCACGCGCACTCCAGAGTCGAAGGCGCGCACCGCGCACCGCGAGAGGCGGCGTGCACGGGGAAGGGAGGCGACGGAGGAGTTCGCGCGTCGCCGCCACGGGACGAAGACGAACGTCGACGAGGACGCGCGCCTCCTCGCCTAGGTGTACCGCCGCTCCCTCATGACGGCGGAGACTAACGCTCGCCGCCTTCAACAAAAGAATGCCAAGGCGCTCCGGCTAGCCATTGAGCAGTCGGAGCGTGAGACGAGGGAGGCAGCGGTGGAGAAGGCTGGAGTGGCAAGGCTGAAGCGGGAACAGGACAGGGTGGTCCATCGGATGAAGGGGCTCATCGTCCTCTCCGACACCGACTCCGACGGCGGCGACAGCTGCACCTCGTCGTCCGACGACCAGGACCCTCCACCAGCTACGGACGCCTACAGTTGCGCCGGCGACCAGAAGGGCAAAGGCCCGGGGAGGAAGTGGTGATTCCGGCCCCCTCCTCCTCAATGTTTATATCGTTTTAGTTGTAGAAATTTATGAACTTGTCCTTGGATGAACTGTGATCTTTTGTATGTGGTGAAGTATGTTTATGTCCGTTTGCAACCGATCTTGTGTTCCTGCGCAATTTTGTTGTATGTCGTCTGATCACATAGGATAAATCAACGTGTGCATGGTAGTATGGATATAAGACACCGGATATGAGATACGCGGATGCAAGACAATAAATATGAGGAGTGCCCGGTCAGTGCCCGCGGACGGGCCCGGGCGCATCCGCGGGCATTTGAGGGGCCGATTTATTAAGCGGATATAGATGCTCTTACACATTCATGTAGAATCATTGTATAAACTGACATAAAAACATTGTAGAGACTGGTGTGAAAGTGGTAGTGAAAATACATGTAGGCCTCCAAGTGTTGGGGAACATGGTAATTTCAAAAAAAATCCTATGCACACGCAAGATCATGGTGATGCATAGCAATGAGAGGGGAGAGTATCGTCCACGTACCCTCGTAGACCATAAGCGGAAGCATTATGAGAACGCGGTTGATGTAGTCGAACGTCTTCACGATCCGACCGATCCAAGTACCGAACGCTCGGCACCTCCGAGTTCAGCACACGTCAGCTCGATGACGTCCCACGAACTCCGATCCAGCAAAGCTTCGAGGGAGAGTTCCGTCAGCACGACGGCGTGATGACGGTGATGATGATGATGTTACCGACACAGGGCTTCGCCTAAGCACCACTACGATATGATCGAGGTGGATTATGGTGGAGGGGGGATCGCACACGGCTTGGAACAATCAACTTGTGTGTCTTGGGGTGCCCCCTGCCCCCGTATATAAAGGAGCAAGGGGGGAGGCCGGACGGCTCTTGCAGGGCGCGCCAGGAGGAGGAGTCCTCCTCCTAGTAGGAGTAGGACTCCCCTTTCCTACTCCTACTAGGAGGGGTAAAGGAAGGAGGAGAGGGAGAAGGAAGGAGAGGGAGGAAAGGGGCCTGGCCCCCTAGTCCAATTCAGTTTGGGCTAGGGGGGCGGCGCGCCCTGCCTTATCTTGCCTCCTCTCTTTCACCACTTGGCCCATGAGGCCCAATACTTCTTCCCCCATATTCCCGTAACTCATCGGTACTTCGAAAAATACCCGAATCACTCCGAACCTTTCTGATGTCCGAATATAGTCGTCTAATATATCGATCTTTACGTCTCGACCATTTCGAGACTCCTCGTCATGTCCCCGATCTCATCCGGGACTCCGAACTATCTGCGGTATATCAAAACACATAAACTCATAATACCGATCGTCACAGAACTTTAAGCGTGCGGACCCTACGGGTTCGACTACTATGTAGACATGACCGAGACATGTCTCCGGTCAATAACCAATAGCGGAACCTGGATGCTCATATTGGTTCCTACATATTCTACGAAGATCTTTATGGGTCAAACCGCATAACAACACACGTTGTTCCCTTTGTCATCGGTATGTTACTTGCCCGAGATTCGATCGTCGGTATCTCAATAGCTAGTTCAATCTCGTTACCGGCAAGTCTCTTTACTTATTCCGTAATACATCATCCGCGACTAACTCATTAGTTACAATGCTTGCAAGGCTTATAGTGATGTGCATTACCGAGAGGGCCCAGAGATACCTCTCCGACAATCGGAGTGACAAATCCTAATATCGATCTATGCCAACTCAACAAGTACCATCGGAGACACCTATAGAGCACCTTTATAATCACCCAGTTATGTTGTGACGTTTGGTAGCACACAAAGTGTTCCTCTGGTATTCGGGAGTTGCATAATCTCATAGTCATAGGAACATGTATAAGTCATGAAGAAAGCAATAGCAATATACTAAACGATCAAATGCTAAGCTAACGCAATGGGTCAAGTCAATCACATCATTCTCTAATGATGTGATCCCGCTAATCAAATGACAACTCATGTCTTTGGCTAGGAAACTTAACCATCTTTGATTCAACAAGCTAGTCAAGTAGAGGCATACTAGTGACACTCTGTTTGTCTATGTATTCACACATGTACTAAGTTTCCGGTTAATACAATTCTAGCATGAATAATAAACATTTATCATGATATAAGGAAATAAATAATAACTTTATTATTGCCTCTAGGGCATATTTCCTTCAGTCTCCCACTTGCACTAGAGTCAATAATCTAGTTCACATCTTTATGTGATTAGTTCACATCTCCATGTGACTAATACCCAAAGGGTTTATTAGAGTCAATAATCTAGTTCACATCGCTGTGTGATTAACACCAAAAGAGTGATCATGTTTTGCTTGTGAGAGAAGTTTAGTCTACGGGTCTGCAACATTCAGATCAGTATGTATTTCGCAAATTTCTATGTCTACAATGCTCTGCACGGAGCTACTCTAGCTAATTGCTCCCACTTTCAATACGTATCCAGATCGAGACTTAGAGTCATCTAGACCGATGTAAAAAAGCTTGCATCGATGTAACTCTTTACGACGAACTCTTTTATCACCTCCATAACCGAGAAATATTTCCTTAGTCCTCTAAGGATAATTTTGACCGTTGTCCAGTGATCTACTCCTAGATCACTATTGTACTCCCTTGCCAGAATCATGCTAAGGTCTACAATAGGACTGGTAAACAGCATAGCATACTTTATAGAACCTATGACTGAGGCATAGGGAATGACTTTTCATTCTCTTTTTATTTTCTGCTATGGTCGGCTTTTGAGTTTTTACTCAACTTCACACCTTGCAGCACAGGCAAGAACTCCTTTGACGGTTCCATTTTAAACTACTTCAAAATCTTGTCAAGGTATGTACTCATTGAAAAAAATTATCAAGCATCTTGATCTATCTCTATAGGTCTTGATGCTCAATGTGTAAGCAGCTTCATCGAGGTCTTTTTTTGAAAAACTCTTTTCAAACACTCCTTTATGCTTTCCAGAAAATTCTACATTATTTCCGATCAACAATATGTCATTCACATATACTTATCAGAAATGCTTTAGTGCTCCCACTCACTTTCTTGTAAATACTGGCTTCACCGCAAGTCTGTATAAAACCATATGTTTTGATCACTTTATCAAAGCATATATTCCAACTCCGAGATGCTTGCACCAGTCCATAGATGGATCGCTGGAGCTTGCTCACTTTGTTAGCACCTTTAGGATCGACAAAACCTTCTGGTTGCATCATATACAACTCT